TGCATTGAACTTATAGAGAACTTTTGGTAATATCGCCATTTTGATGATGTTAGTTCTACCTATCCATGAGCAGGGTATATTTTTCCATCTTCTAAGGTCTTCTTCTATATCTTTCTTTAGGGTTCTATAATTTTCATTATATAAATCTTTCACCTCTGAAGAAACAGGCTTAGGGTAATTGTCTGGTGTCACACAGCTGATAAGAGGGAAGGCTAGGACTATGAATCCATGTCTAAATGATAGAAAATTCATGCTCTACTGTCTTCTAGTAATTGACTAATCAAAATATTTCAGTCAAGAACATTTAAGAAACAAAACTTAAAAACTACAGCTTTTTATACATTAGGCCATCTTAGAATTTTTGTGTTTAGTAATATACTTCTCATTTTTGAGTTTTTCTTAACAACCCACAAAAGCAGTTTTCCTACTATTATAAAAATAATCACAGTTTTTCAGGGAAAATCTTGTGTTCCACAGATGTTTGGTTAGCATCACACACAAAATTATGCTTTGGAACTTAAAAAATCAGTAAAACTTGATCTTCCTACTCATGTAATTTCCAAAACAGTGGTATTTTGAAGACATAATATTTTTGATAACGTTTGCCTTCTCTTGTTTTTATGCATATCTTAAAATTTCTCTGGCTATCCTCCACATACATGAGATTCTTATAATTACTTCTGATTAGAAAAGTTGTAGTTATGCATTGTTTCATTAAAATAATTCCTGTCTGCTTACTGAATACTGTGCAAGTCGACTATCATCTATGTGGCATATTTATTCAAATAAATAGTAGCAAGGCTGAGGGGCATGGGCTCTGCACACACTTTCATTATGGTAGAAGAGTCAGCTGGTCAACAAGTGAGTGACATCCTTGATGGAAAAATTCTGTCTCATACAAAGATCTAATTTTTTGACCTTTATATCTATATTTGAAGATGAAAGAGGGTTCATCAAATCCAGACAGTGATGACTTTTGGAAGTATAGTAACTAGAAATAAGAGATTTGACAGGACATTGTGGGTCTTCTTTTGTTTTCTGGTCTGGTTGCTGATTACATGAGTGTGTTTAGTATTTAAAAATTCATTAAGTTACACTATTATGATACATGAACTTTTCTACAGGTATAGTATACTTCAGTAATAAAAAAAAACCAAAAAAATAAAATAAAAATGAAATGCAAGCTGATGTTTAGAGTTTGGGATTACTGTTCTTTTATTCAAGTGTCTGAATAAGTTTAGTTGACTAATAAATATCCTGAAAGATTGCAAAGCAAGATGATTAAAAAGTTCCCATTTGCAACTATTCATGTGGTAAACCAAGAATATTTTTTTACTATACAACAAAAACAACATATACACACAGTGGAAGACTGACAGTATTGTGAGAATATAACAAAATTTTCAAAAGATCATTTTATTGTTTTCACTAATTTCATAGGTAAATGTTACCAATGTAACCTTATATTCTTATATTGAGAGAGAAAATAGCATTTTGCCTATATAGAGAGTTCTATATGAAATTTCAACCAGAGATAAGGGTTTCACTGCTTGAAAATGTTTGAGAAAGCATTGTCTCAAAGATTTTTTGAGACCAAAGCTTTAAGAAAGATTAGTTATATCCTAGGATTTTGGGATGTAACTTAGTTTTTTACTAAAGAAAGGAAACTGTGGAAAAGCACAGTAAGGCAACGGTCCCATTTCTTCTACACATGGCAAATTAAACTGAATAGTTTGGAAAGGCACAGCAGATTAATTAATATTCACCTATACTTTGCTTCAACAGCATCATTCTTATAATTATTTAACCATGCTCAACTTGATCCATCAGCATTAAGTGTCACCATTAGCAAGTTCTGATTCAATTGTTAAATACCATAGAAAAATTTAATTAGAAAAAAGATTTAAAATTTTGTCAACATGGTTATTTTACATGTTTTCCTAGGAACGAAACCAATTAGTCATGAAGTATTCCATATTTAGAGAATAGAAAACTTTTCCCTTTTACCTGTTCCTGTCATTTCATTTTCAGTCTTTTCTGGTAGGGCCTCTGGCTTAGTTGTTGCTTTATCTTGTTCATCAAGGTTTACCTCTTCAATAGAATCTAATGAATCAAGCAGCACAACTGGAAAAATATAAAAGAAAAAAATATAAGGAACATAGTGTGGTTCCTTTGATCAATAAAATTAATCATTTACATAAAACAATAAAATGCATAAAAACAGATGTTTATACACAAATGGTATATAATTTGGAGGGGGGTAGGGGATAACCAGGGACTGAACTCAGGGGCACTCAGCTGCTCAGCCACATCCCAGCCCTATTTTGTATTTTATTTAGAGACAGAGTCTCACTAAGTTGCTTAGTGTCTTCTTGTTGCTGAAACTGGCTTTGAACTCTTTATCCTCCTGTCTCAGCCTCCTGAGCCACTGGGATTACAGGCGTGCAACAGCACACCATTCTAAGTGGTATATAATTTTATATGTATGTGTGTATAAACATATATATGCACAAAAAGTAGGCTAATATCTGCATACATATTTATGATTATATATAGGTCTGATGTGTATTTATAAGTGGAAGGCAAAGGGCCTGAGAAAAATAACAAAAAGGAAACATTCTTAAATGTAACACTGGATTTAAGATATGCTCATGATTAAGAAAAGTTATAAACTTTAATGTCTTAGAGACATTTAAAAACAAAAGAGTGATTTTTCAGAATTATTTCGATAGAATTTTGAACACACTGATTTTTGGCCAACTAAAACACATGAGTATACATAATATTTACCATTAGCCAGCATACCGGTTTTCTCTTCTTCCTAATTTAAAGGATAAAAATAATTATATAGTTCGTGAAATCAAAAGTAGATAAAACAACTTCAATACAAACAGTTACAAATTTGAAAACCAGCGCTTTACTCCACTGTGAGAAGATCAGAAACCGTTTTCTAGGTTCCTGTCACCACTCTCATTCACTGATAATTTTCCAAGCCTAAGGGACTATAGTTCTGAAAGAACTTCTAAAAATCTCTTTCAAACCTTGCCAATTACTAAAACCAATTTAGTCCTTAAAAAGCCTTGCTTAAAATATCTAGGTGTCATGTGCTTATTTACTTTACTCAAAAATTCTGATTTTTTTGAACATTAAGATAATAGAGTTACTTCAAACAACAGCCTACAATTATAACATTGTCATTTTTTCCTTATAATTCAAAATTATAATCAAATATAACATACATTCCGTGTTTCATCCATTTTAAAAGACAAAACTTTTTAGAAAGCCAGGCCACCAAATGGAAAGGCAATATTACAAGTTCCTTAGAGTATGTTTTCTAGTTAGTATCATCTTATTGCCTACCGGATTAGGCAGTGGGTATGGTCCTCTCATTAACAGCAGTGCTTTAATTTCTTCCTGTTTTGACTCATACGCAGACAGCTCTCTATAAGCCCTCCATACTTAGGTTGACACATTTTTATGTAGGTAGATTTTCTTGATACATTGTACTACTGTGCCTTCTATTGACTTATTAATTTTTTATAAAATATTATAAAGGCCATATTTCAAATAAAAATCCATTAAATTGATCAAGGCCATATCAATCTTTGTGTTATTTCTAAGCTTATTTTTTCCCCTCAGAGTGAGTGACATAAATTACTCAAGGATAAATTATCAAGTAAACTTGAAGATAGGAGTATTTATGAATACCCCCAATTTTTTTTTCTCTTCAAGAGAGTCTATGGTTTTGTACATGTTCAAATCATCTAGCTGTAACATACAGTTCCAAAAGAGACTGCACCCAGAATAAGAAGAATAACAATTAGCAATTACCCTACTAGTTAGCTCACTAACTTTTCAAAGATAAATTCTATTCAGTTGGCAATAGCCCTGAATAATTCTTGAAGAACTGAGAAATGAGAGGATTAGAGTATGGCACTGCTGAATGTGAATGAAATAATATACTTCCTTAAAGTAAAGTTTCAGATACTAATGTTACCAATGACAAATACTGAGAAATGGTATTTGTTATACTTCACAAGGACAAGACCTACCAAAGAGAAGTGTAATTTCAGATACAAGTTTAAAAATAAGTTTTACATTTTAATTGTTTGAATTTCTAAAGCTTGATTTAAGGAAATAATCTGGCAAAAAACAACTCATAAATTCACTGATACTTTGATTTTGTTCTTTAGATTTTACATTAAATTGATATTCTGAGTTAAGAAAATGTTTGAGTCTCAAAAGACAAATAAGTTTACAATATTGAACAAGACTATGAAGAACCCCCTATATGGCAATAGTCATCCAAATTGATAAAGTAGCAGCAAAACTGTCAAATATATAATCAATGTATACCTGTTTGGGTACATTTATTTTTTCTGATTTGAGATTTTCCTTGGAATGAGTCTCTTCATCTTTAGAAATCAAAGGTACACCTATATCCTCTGCATCTTCAAAATCATCCGTGTAATTTTCTGAAGGAAATAATTTTAAAAAGTACAAGAATCACGCTGTCAAAAAAGTCAAATTCTGGGTAAAGATTGTTGATTTCCAAAGGCAGAAGTCTGCATAAGAACAATTTATTGAGATATTAACATAAAGTATGTTTAAAGAATATGTTTTGCAAAGATTTGATAAGAGTTCAATTTATAAGACTATCTTGGGTTTATTTCATTTTTTTGTACTTTCAAATAGTTCTAAGCTTTAAATTTTTAAGCTTTTATATTATTACTCAGTTGAAAATTTATAGAGCTGTCTAAAAAATTTTATATTATCATTTTAAATAGAACTTTTAATTTTGTTTCTTCAAAACTTAAATCTCCAGTTGATTACTTATAAAAGGCAGCACTTTTGTGAGATCTTGACACTCTTACAAAGGTTGGATTTTTCTTACTTTGATTTTTTATTTTGATCTCAGCAGGTATCCCTGCCTGTAATCCTTTAATATACTTTTGAAAGATCTCCGAATTCTTGGCTAAAGACTCAATGTCTCAGTGGCTCTGCAGCAGAAGCAAAGGTGTCTCCATTAGCCTATTTATGGAGAATATGGTGCATACTTGGCCAGGATCTCTTCACTGATTTTTCAAGTTGTTTACAGCTCTTAAATCAAAGGATTAATTAAGACTTGTGGGTTGAAGAGGAGCACCCCTTTCAGAGTGGTACCATTTTGAAAATGAATGCCATCTTAGTTGTCCTTTTTTTTTTTTTTTTTAATTACATCACAGTGAGAACAGGATGGCCTCATAGGAAAAAGACTGCATGGGTCCTATGCCGTTGCTTCTGGAATAGCTTTTACTCTTCTCTTACATGCAGAGGACAATGTAGATGCAATTAATACTGGAAGAATGAATTTGAGAGGGCTTGGAAGTTAAATAAGGATGTTCCCAGTAAGATCTTGGTATAGAAATATGTCTATTTTATATCATAAAAAATGAGTTTGGGAGAGAAGGAAGATGGCAAGCCAGAGGGAGGCAGCATTCTGGGTTACTTCGTAATCCAGATCTACTTCTTAATTCCGATCTCACCAAGCGGAATACTGCATCTCAGAGTGTTAGAGGAACCTTATGCAGCTGCTTTCGCGCAGAAATCACCAGCTCTGTGACCCCGCGCAGGACTCCTGGCTCCCAATACCCAAGCCCTCAAAGTTCTAGCCAATGCAGAGCTTGAAAGCGCCTTAGCAAAATCACCTATCAGCACATCTGCAGAATTCCCAGACTTCACTCTGCTCCCACGCAGGACACTCAGCTGCTACCTACCCCCAGCACAACATCACCACCCAGCTGCCTCAACCCCACCCAAACACCAGCTGGCCAGGTACCAGTTTCCAACTTCCCCCTCTTCCTAGTGGTAGAAACCCAATAGTATTAGCCCAACACAAAACAACTCTCAGTTGTACGCAGTATGACCAGGACACTGCTCACGGGAGCCTCGGTGTGGGAGTTCCTACAATTGGGAACTGCTATAGGAGAGGAAGATGGGGCTAAAGTTTGGAGCCTAACAGAGAGACCAGGAACTGGGAAATCTCCAAGAAAGATAGGGAGATAGTACCAGGTGCTCAAGTCATATGAGTGGTCCCAAAAAGAGACCTTTGAGGTGCAGTCTCCCTGCAAGGACTGGCAAGTGCCATTCACTGCTTCCAGGCACCCTGCACTAGGACCAGCCATCCCACCTCCGGTTACCTCCACCATCCTGAGGGCAGAGACACCAGCTTACAACAGACAACCCACCTATTGGATGAGAAGAGAAGTAGGGACAATAGGGATGTCTAAAACTATCAACAATCCTGGTTTCTTCCTTATAGCATTTTTTTCTCACTTTTTTCTTATACCTCTCTATCCTCCCACTCTCATTCCCAACATAGGTAAAAACAAGAACTTTGCATGAACTAGGATTTTGAGATCTGGAGCATCTGAATAATATAATATAAAGGTGTTGTATATGCCCTTTTTCCTTTTTCTTCTTTCCTTTTTCTCTCCAATTCTTACGATTTTAACATTTTTTTTTCTAAATACATATGTGTGTTTGTTTTATGTACTCTACTGCCTTACCTTGTACTTGTTTACCTTAAATTACTTTGTCTATTCTCTTGCAACTAACCCTCTTCATTAGATTTCTCTTTCACCCTTCCTAAGATATATTAATTCTATATCCTCACATCCTGCCTCCTCAGCTTATCATCCTATGCCCCACCCCCAGGTCATTGTCCACCATCACAAACTGTAAACCATTTTACAAAACTACTTATTATAGATAATGATCAAATCCAACATTTCTGTACACTGAGACCAAACTCTAAACATCTTAATAGCAACAAATTGTTCATAGATGGTATATTGTTGATATTAGGTTCTGTTAACATTGTCCTTCCACACAAAGGAGAGGTGTTAGAACCCTACAAGAACACTACAAACATGTGGGGTAAAAACAATAACACCCAGGACCCACAGAGCTAGAAGGGAAGACATACAAGCAAAGTGAAAAGACAAGGGAAGAAAGTGCCTCAAACAAATCAAGATACCACCTTATCAGAATCCTTGGCAGCTACAGCAGAATGATAGAAAAGGAGTTCAGGATATACATGATTAAAATGTTCTGTGAACTCAAGAAGATATAAGAGAGCAAATACAGGCAGTGAAAGATCATTTCAACAAGGAGCTACATAAACAAATACAGGAAGCAAAATATCACCTCAACAGGGAGAGAGAGGTTCTAAATACACACACACACACACACACACACACACACACACACCAGAAATCCTTGAAATGAAAAACAATAAATCAAAAGCTCAAATGAAAGCATCATCAAGAGTAGACCACTTGGAAGACAAGACATCAGACAATGAAGACAAAATATATAATCTTGAAAAGAACATAGACCACACAGTGATAATGGTAAGAAATCATTCAAGAAATATGGGACAGTATAAAAAGGCCAAATTAAAGAGTTACTGGGATAGAGGAGGGCACAGAGGTCCAAACCAAAGGAATAAACAATTCATTCAATGAAATAATATCAGAAAATTTTCCAAACATGAATCATGAACTGGAAATCCAAATTCAAAATGCCTACAGGACACTGAATGTACAAAATCACAACAGATCCAAAGCAAGGCACACTATAATAAAAATGCCCAACATACAAAATAAGGAGATAATTTTAAAAGCCATGAGAGAAAGGAATCAGATTACATATAGAGGAAAACCCATTAAGAAAACTGCAGATTTTTCAATACAGACCCTGAAAGCTAGAAGATCCTAAAATGACATATATCAAGCTCTGAAAGAAAATGGATGCCAACCAAGAATCTTTTATCAAGGAAAATTAAGCTTTAGATTTGATGATGAAATTAAAACCTTCCCTGATAAACAAAAGTTAAAAGAATTTATACCTAAAAATCGGCACTACAAAACATCCTTGGAAAAATATTCCATGAAGAGGAAACAAAAAACAATGAAAATCAGCTGAGGGAGGTAGTACCCTAAAGAAAAAGCTAATCAAAGAAGAAAATCAAGTGAAGTTAAATAACAAAATAAACAAATATTGGATTGAAATTAGAAATCAATGACAAAATAAAAAATAAAAATTTCTCCAATACCTGGAGATTAAACAATATGCTACTAAATGAGCATGAGTTGCAGAAGACATCAAGGAGGAGATTAAAAAATTCTTAGAGGTCAATGAGAACATAGACACAACATATCAAAATCTCTGGGACACTTGAAAGCAGTACTAAGAGGAAAGTTCATTGCATGGAGTTCATTCCTTAAAAGAAGAAAAAGTCAACAAATAAATGACCTAACATTATATCTCAAAGCCCTAGAAAAAGAAAAACAAATCAACACCAAAAACATTAGAAAGCAGGAAATAATTAAAATTAGAGCTGAAATCAATGAAATTGAAACAAAAGAGACAATTGAAAAAAATTGACAAAAAAGCTGTTTCTTTGAAAAACAATTGACAGACCCTTAGTTAGGCTAATGAAGAGAAGGAGAGAGAAAACTCAAATTACCAGCATACACAACAAAAAAGGTAATATCACAACAGACACTACAGAAATAGAGGATAATTAGAAATTATTTTGAAAACTATACTCCAGTAAAATAGAAGATATTGAAGGCATCGACAAATTTCTTATGTCATCCGATTTGCCCAAATTGAATCAGGATGATATACACAATTTACACAGACCAATATCAAGTGATGAAATAGAAGATGCCATCAGAAGCCTACCAACCAAAGCCCAGGACCAGATGGATACACAGCCAAGTTCTACAAGACCTTTAAAGAAGAACTAATACCAATAGTCTTCAATTTATTTCAGGAAATAGAAAAAGAGGGAGCTCTTCCAAACTCATTCTATGTGGCCAATATCACCCTGATTCCAAAACCAGACAAAGACACAAAGACAGAAAACTTCAGATCAATATCTCTAATAAACATAGATGCAAAAATTCTCAAAAAAATTCTGGCAAATCGAATACAAAAACATATCAAAAAGATCATGCACCACGATCAAGTGGGATTCACCCCAGGGATGCAAGATGGTTCAACATATGGAAATCAATAAATGTAATTCATCACATCAGTAGACTCAAAGATAAGAATCATATGATAATCTCAACAGATGCAGAAAAAACATTTGACAAAATATAGCACCCCTTCATGTTCAAAACTCTAGATAAACTAGGAATAAGAAGAACATATCTCAACATCGTAAAGGCTATCTACACTAAGCCCCTGGCCAACATCATTCTAAATGGAGAAAAATTGAAGGCATTCCCTCTAAAAACTGGAACAAGACAGGGATGCCCTCTTACACCACTTCTATTTAACATAGTTCTTGAAACACTGGCCAGAGCAATTAGACAAAAGAAATTAAAGGAATATGCATAGGAAAAGAAATTAAATTAGCACTATTTGCTGACAATATGATTCTATACCTAGAAGACCCAAAAAGCTCTACCAGAAAACT